TAATGAAATTTCATCAGGTGCATACGGAACCACTGTATCCTTGGTGGTATGGTATCCAAGTCCATGCTGCCCAGAAGTGATACAAGTGGCTTATGATCCGTTAGTATATGGAACTTCATCCAATGAAGTAGCTGCTAAAACGCTTGCATGTCCATATCACTCCCAGTGACTCTTTCTCTATTTGTGCGTACCTTTGTTCACAGCTTGACAGTGCTCTGAACTGATAGACCACTGGACGCCATGTCATGTCATCTTGTTGCTGTTCCAAGACCGCACCCAGACCATAAGCAGAAGCATCTGAGGAGTCTCTTGTTTCTCGTTCTGGGTCATAATGAGCTAATACTGCCGAATCACAGGTGAGTATTTCTTTCACTTCTGCAATGAATGCTTGTTGCCGTGCTGATCCCCATGTCCACTCTCTCATTGGGCTTAGAAGGTTTCTAAGTGGTTTGGAGGTTTCAGCTAGTTTGCTTGTAAAACTTGAGCTATGCCTATGAATCTTCTTAACTGGTGAATGTTCTTGGGCTGTTTCATATCCTTTATGGCTTTAAACCTTGAAGGATCTGGATGAATTCCATCGCTTGTTACAACATGATCTAAGGTAACACCGTTCTTTGAGAATTCACACTTCTCAGGGGCTGATCCAGGATTTTGTTCAGAGAGGGGTGCTGCGTACAATGTTAACCCTCTGAGGGGTGCAACCCTTAGAATTAAAGGGAAAAAACAGTATTGGTTTTCTTCGAAGTAGGAGCACAAAGTGGAACCAGGGAGGGGTGTGCAGCCCCGGCACCCCTCCCCTGGATCCGCCCCTGCTTCTCCAAATTTAGGGTTATTCCAACCTCTTTGATCTTCTTCAGAACTTTGACAAGTCACTCATCATGCTCTTGTTGGGTAATACCATATACCAGAGTTTCATGATTAATGTTGACTGTCACTTTTGCCTTCAATAGCTGGAATTCCCAGTAAGGGACATTGGAGATCATGGACAATGTAGATGTTCTGCATTGTGGACTTATCCTTGTGGGTAATCAGTGCTTCAAACATGCCCCACACATTCAAGTTCTGTAGAGAAGGACCAGAAAGTCTTGCATTTGTCTTTTCCAATTTGCAGCCAGTTTTCTTGAAAACATGTTCTGGTACGACAGTGACGTCTGCACCAGTGTCTATTTTACAGTTGATTGGAACTCCCTGTAGCTTAACATCTACGTTCCAAGGGTGGTCTTCAGTACTCAGCTCATCAGTGTGTACGGATCCTTGGAAGAAGTGCTGTTCCTCAGTCACCTCTCCTACTGTCTTGCAAACAGACTGGAAATGTCCTTTCTTTTTACATTTATGACAGGCTACATCCTTCGCTGTACACGGTTGACAAGGTTGAGAAGGATTTTTACCACATCTACTGCATTTTGACTGAGCTTTTCTGTTTCTTATGTCTTTGAATGTTCTTTCATTTTCTTGAATTTTTTCCTCTGGATGACTTCAACATTCTATTTCTCTCCTTCTGGCTGACTTATTTGAGTTGCTTTTCCTTTGATGACATTCTGCTGTTTCTTTATGGCATCTTTTAACATTGCATAGTCCACAGCTTTCTTAGGTTAAGCCTGGATTCAACTGTAGTTTTTCATACATGTACATGTACAATCTGTCATCCTGAAGACCAACAACCAATCTATCAAGGATTAATTCTTCAGTAAGGGTACCATACCAAACCACTTGTTGATTTGTTGATTGAACTTGGCTCTCTCGAAGATAGGATTTCTTTTCTTTATGAAATGGCTTTTAAATTTTTGAACCACTGTCTTGTATATCTTCGCTTGATCTTCAGTTAAAGAGGTGCTGAAAATATCATCTGCTCTCTCACCCAAGAAATAGATGAACGCATTGAACTGACTTGGGCCATCCCTTTTGTCCAGTTCCGAAGCAACTTGAAATCTGTCAAATCTTTTGACCCACTTTGGCCACAAATCTGGCTTTCCAAAGTCAAATTTTTCGGTTGGGGTAACTTGTCACTTTGCCATCATTAATTTACACTACTGACACCATGTAGTATTTTCCTAAGTTCAATGTTTACCGATGACTAGTCGAATATAAAACTATAAACACTAGGACACCATATTTGATTCGGAAGCATACTTTATTTGTGGAAGCAAGGCTACCACAGGAATCCCATTACATCACAGAAGACAGTGATAAAAATTCCTCAAGCTACAATTGAAAATTGATGCGATTCGTTCACTCAGCGGTACTTGAAAACAGCTTCAACCTAAATGCAATTTGTCACTTTACTATATCCCTTTTGATTTTGTCCAACCAGCTTGCATTGAAAGAAAGTATCTTCAAAATGTTGTTTTTGCTGTTATTTGCCAAACTGTTTGCTATTATTACTRTAAGTTTGAGCCGATGACAAGAATTAAGATGTAGGAAGAGTAGTTGTGCAAGAATCTTGGTTCAATATATGGTTGCAGTATGACATGATTTTTACATTTAATATAAGTAAGTAAAAAAACAGTTTTATCAACTATTTTAGGGGTTGGCAAGTCCGTACATACTGAAACAATTATTCACCTCAGTGTTTTGAATATTGATGGAATATGTACCTTGATGCTCGAAGACTTGCGTCTTGGTAAATAWTCCAACRATATTGACAGCACCTTTGGCRAATAATTACTAAAATATGTATATATCATATATACACACACACATATATATTATTAGCAGAAGCTATAATAATTATAAATAAATTTTCGAAAAAAAAAAAACCATTATAAATAAATAGTACCTTTGATTCCAAATCCAGCTTTCTGTCAATTTCAGTYGATATGTCAGTCTTGTTTGACCATCCCTTTAATTCAGATCTTTTATATATGTGATAGTCCTCAAACAGCTAAGAACAAATGACACATTCGATCAGTAGGCTTTAAAACAATAGGCTTTAGAAACAAAATATCAAATACCAAATATAATATTTAAGCTAAATAAAAATGAGGAAATGCAATTGTCTAAAGAATACAAGTGCAAAAATAACTGGAGGCTGCTCTAAACCCAAGGTCAATTTAATCAGATAAGCTTGGATGAATTGAATTTCTGCCATTCATTTAAACCATGTGAAGCAAGAGTACACAATTGGGTGCTCCAAAAGGCATCCCTACTAGTTAAAGTGCCACGAAATTTTAATGTCTCCAATTTTTACTTTTTAAACACATGATGATTAAGTACTTTTACAAAAGAAGAAAACTGGTGTTTTTTTCCATTCCTTGTTAGCATTTTTGGCTTGAAAGATATCAAGTTTATGTTAAAACTCAGCTCACAGTTTCCTTCAACATAGATTTTAGTACATCTTTGTGTATTTCATGAATATCATTCAAACTTTGCAGTGTATTTGTATTCAAAATATTGGATATGAAAATGCACATGTGCTATGGCAACACAATGGCATACAGGCCCCTAACAATGATTTTAACCTTTCATCAATTCCATCAATTTCATCAATTCCATCAATTTCATCAATTCCATCAATTTCATCAATTCCATCAAGAAAATTGTTTGACCAAATTTTTGTCTACAGTATGACCGTAACAGATATTTTAACCTATCCTTATTCCACACCCTTTCACTACTACAGCAGCCAAAAGAGTACAACCAGAAATGCTACGGTTTTGCTAGAGCGGCCAAAAGTGGCCAGTGGAAAGACATTTTTGCTTTTCAATTATCTGTACCCTAAGTCATTTCTATGTGTTGAAACATGTAGGCTTTTTTTTTTTTGGATCATTAAAGTCCCTATGACGCTTATTTTTTGTCATTTTTTTAACAGTTGTATTAAAAGTAGAAGGTCTTGGGAGACTATTCGTTTATGAAATTCTCGAGTATGAATTGTAAAAGTATCTTTTTAAGAGCTTTAAAAGTGGCAAAAAATTAAATTTTGGGCTTCCTGTGTTAAATTGACCGAGCAAAAGGAAGCCTATGGGAGCCTGTGCTGTGACGTCACCGGAGTAAGACACAATATGAATCCAGTAAAGTTGCCATAAAATTACATACGGTGTATAATTAATTGCTCGTAGTTGGTGAGTTCTGTTTTATTCTC